CGCTAAACAAAAATCAGAGTCGAATAACGCGGAAAATGTTAACTTTTGTCGTAAGAATCTTGACAGCGGGCGTAACGATATTGTTGTAGCGGTCATTCAAGGCATACCTGTCGATGTCCTCATCGACAGCGGGTCGAGCATATCACTAATTTCATCTTCGTTACTGAAATATTTTAAATGCGCGCGCAAGCCTGCCTTCAGAATTTTAAGAGGTATCGGTAGTCAAGACGTTGAATCTACTTACTATGTCACGTTGCCGATAGAATTCGATGAAATAACCTTGGAGGTAGACTTGCATGCAGTATCGCCAGAGTTTCTAAACACGCCTGTTATTGTTGGGACTGATGTGTTAAATCGTGACGGAGTGACCTACGTTCGTACACGTGATCGACAACATCTTGCTTATAATAATAGGTCGCCATATAACGTTATGTGCGCTGTGACAATACATGATACCCCCATTAAGACATCTTTGACCGGTCGCGACCTAGAAAGGCTGCTTGAGTTGATCAACGAATTTTCAAAATTCTTTATTTCCGGGACTGCTGCCACCACAGTCAATACTGGCAGCATGTCTATCAAATTAAATAATCATACGCCTGTTAATTATAGACCATACAGACTTTCGTTGCCGGAAATTTTGAAAGTTCGTGGAATTATTCAAGAACTCCTAGACAACGGTATTATCCGAGATTCCGAATCTGAATATGCGAGCCCAATCCTCCTAGTAAAGAAAAAGGATGGATCAGACCGCATGTGCGTAGATTATCGCAGGCTTAACGGGATTACTGTCAAAGACCGTTTTCCTTTGCCGTTGATTGACGACCACATTGACCGGTTAGGGAAACACAAATTTTTTAGCAGCCTTGATATGGCAACAGGGTTCCATCAAATCCCATTGGACGAAGAGTCGATTCCGCTCACGGGATTCGTCACACCAGAAGGGCATTATGAGTATTTAAAAATGCCCTATGGTTTGGCGAACGCCCCCGTCGTTTATCAGCGTATTATATCGAAAACACTTCGCCGTCAGCTTGAGGCTGGTAAGACCCTTGTGTACATTGACGATGTGCTGATTCTTAGCCATACGATAGATGAGGGCCTTATTCTTCTCCGCGACGTACTTCAGACACTGACTGCGGCAGGTTTTTCTATCAATTTAAAGAAATGCTCATTCTTATCGACTCAAATTGAATATTTAGGCCGCACTATAAGTCAGGGTCAGGTACGGCCGAGTGAGCTAAAGGTCCAGGCACTCGTTGACGCCCCCACTCCAAAAACGGTCAAGCAAGTTCGTCAGTTGCTAGGTTTGGCAAGTTATTTTCGCCGATATATATCGGGTTTCGCTGCTAGAACGGCCCCGATTACTAAACTCACGAGAAAGGGTATACCGTTTCTTTGGGGAAGAGAACAAGAAGAAGCACGCCAAGAAATTATCTCACAATTAACCAGTGAGCCTGTGTTGGCAATCTACGACCCTAACTTGCCTATTGAAGTCCATACGGACGCAAGTTCTATTGGTTTTGGCGCTGTGCTTCTTCAGGTTCATGAGAACGGATGCAAGCAAGCGGTAGGTTATTTTAGCAAGCGAACGCAGGGTGCCGAGCCCAGATATCATTCGTACGAGCTCGAGACGCTAGCCGTTGTCAAGGCCCTGCAACACTACAGACACTACCTGGTCGGCGTTAACTTTAAAGTAGTGACCGATTGTAATGCACTGAAATCAACGCAGCAAAAGAAAGATCTCTTGCCCCGTGTTGCCAGGTGGTGGATGTACCTACAGGACTTCGACTTTACCCTAGAGTATCGTAAGGGTACGTCTATGTCGCACGCAGACTACTTGAGCCGAAATCCTGTTAATGTTTGCGAAGTACGCAGACAACAGAATTGGGCTCGAATTGCGCAGGCGGCTGACGAAGAGACACAACAGCTTATCCAAAGACTGACAGACGGACAGCTAGACACTACTCATTACGTTCACAAAAATGACCTGCTTTTTTATAAGTGTTCTCCAGTGGGAGAAGAGCCCAGGTACTTATGCTATGTACCTAAAGGTCATAGGCTTAGTCTGCTTAGGATATTTCATGATGAACATGATCATATTGGCGCTGATAAGACTTTAGAGCTTATTAGAAAACATTTTTGGTTTCCTTCACTAAAGTCATTTGTCAAAAAATACATAAGCCATTGTATCATTTGTTTAACCCATAAAAAGATTCCTAGAGACCCACAGCAGCCAATACATTCTTGGGAAAAACCCTGCACCCCTTTTGAAGTAATTCATACAGACACATTAGGTCCTCTACCTCAATCAAATGGTTATCGCTATGTACTCATTATAATCGATGCTTTTTCAAAATTTTGTCTTTTGTATCCTATGTTTGGTCAAGACGCTAACGAACTGAAACGACTTTTTACAAATGTCATTTCTCTATTTGGTACACCAAAATTAATAGTAGCAGACCGAGGCAGAATGTTCCAGAGCTCAGAGTTTACAAAACTCGTAACTGAGTTGGGCATTGATTTGCATCTGATCACTCCGGAGATGCATCATTCAAACGGGCAGGTGGAGCGTTACTGTCGAACATTGTTAAACATGATTCGCATACAATGCAATCATCGTCAAGATGAATGGGCAGACTTGATGTGGCGATCTCAGCTAGTTCTTAACATAACAAAGCAGAAAACCACTCAGCTTTCACCATTGAACTTGTTGGTTGGTATTGAAGCTGCTACGCCCCTCATACGTCACCTGGTGCGCGACGTGGCCTTGGATAGTTCGCATCCAAATCGTGAAGCGCATAGAGAAATGCACAGACAACGAGCTTCGGAGCGTTTAGCTCGGAACCAACGTCAACAAGACGAGACTGTGAACGCTGGTCGAAAATCCCCCCGATCATTTGAATGTAACTCACTTGTTTTTGTTATTAAGCAGGCGCAATCGACTGGCAAGCTTGACTCCGGCATGCGCGGACCCTATCGCGTGGTCAAAGCGCTTCCCCATGGTCGATACGAGCTGCAACTACTGGCAGGTTCCTATGGCAAATCGACGCAAGCTGCGGCCCAGTTTATGAAGCCGTGGCGCGGGGAGTGGACTCCAGAGACATGCGCTGCATACTTTGATGGTAAGACGTATGATATGCTAACGTCGTGCCTATGTCATACGTTTGTATTCTTTTCATGATACGCTAACGTCGTGCCTATGTCATGTTATTTTAGTGTGAACCATGATAAGCTAACGTCGTGCCTATGTCATGTGTTCATTTTCAAATTTGAGAAACAAGCTAACGTCGTGCCTATGTTTCTCGTTAACAAAGATAGCTAACGTCGTGCTTCCTCTTTGTTGGTTTTGTGAACTAAGCTAACGTAGTGCCTATGGTTCACTGTAAATTGTGTATGTGAATTTTATGATGAAAATCAGTTTCATAACTAATGTTTTTTTTTCCTTGTATGTTTAGGCGCAGATAGCAATGATGATAATGCGGAGTCTACGCCTGAGCAAGCTGCCAATGTCGATACGCAACCCACCATCGATACTTCGCCTGAACCGATGCCTAGCACATCCAGAGCTGCAGAAGCCCTGCAGCCCCAGCCGCAGGAGAACGGGGACGTCCTCCAGTCAGGAGAGGCCGTATTGGCGGAAGAGTGACGTCTTGGCTGTCATCGGAGGGGATGTTGGTGGGAGAAGCTACGGTTGCCTATAAAAGGGCCTGCGCGCTCAGTGGAGTCCTCTTTCTGCGTTGAGTACACATGGTACAAGGGAACCTCTGCTCGTTTGAAGGGTTAAACTGTCTTGTCTGCTATTAATTTTGCGTGTCTTTAGTTTAGATTGATCTATGTTTGTAATTTCAAAATTCGTTATTTAATTAAAATTTAAATTGTTGTTTATTGTAATTGTGTTATTAATAAATAAGATTGTGATTTGTATTTTTTTTAATATTTTCTTCCTGAAGTTGCCAAAAATACATATATAGATAGATAATGGTGTATAGACTGGTTTCATAGAAATAACAGTAATTTTCCTTCGTTCACTAGAACGTATTCATAGAACTGTCATTAGTTCACCCACCCAGATAAATAAACTGATTTCGTTCCATAAATAATCACCCTTAAGACCGTTGACCGATTCTTCAGATCAACAAATTATTTTCCTTTTTGGTAACCATGAAAAATATTCTTTTTCTTTGCGCTTAAAATAAATCGAGATAGCTTCCTCCGTCTCATTATAATCCTTAAACTTTTTTCCCCTCGGTTTGTCAGAATAAATAAAAATCGTTTCGTTTGAATCTTGAGAAAATCCAGAGGGTTTATTTAGGCGTGTTTTTTTAAATCTTTAGATATTTTTCTAGTTGTTTATCTAGTGGTGTTTATAGCTAAAAGTTTGTAAGTACCTATCTTAAGACTTATCAAATACCTATTCATAAATCATAATTGATGACCAAACCATACTGACACCTTCTTCCGACAATTTATAGTCATTCGATTTATGGTCAAAAATTTCCGAATTCGTTAAAATGCAGCACTTCCAGTATATCTATCGTCACAGTCCCCCGAGCGATCATCTCCCAACCCCCGGCTGCGATTGAAAACATCGTGCCACTTGTAAATCATGGTTTTAACTGAGATCTTTTGACATAAATGGGCCCATTTCATTTAATAAAATGAAAGACGTTCATTTGTGCGCGCTTAGCATTTAATCGCTCAAGTAAAAGTATGATTTTTAAATTGGATAGGTACTCAGAAAAATCTTCATCCATTTCTAAAGACTGTAGGTAATGGGATACATTAGCGTAGTCTCAAGTCTTAGTTAATATTACCTACATAAAACAGATACTTATCACTCTTCTCCTCATTCCGAAACCTTATTCGGGCTTCTCATCGTAGGCACCCTAATTGTACCCAATTCCGCTCTTATTAACTTCAATTTAATATAGGGCTGCGATATTACGTACGCTCGAAGTTAATATAATAAGTCGTTATTTAATAATGACAAAACATACCTGAGTTGGGTTGGTTGTCGGAGTTGGGACGCGCCGAGGGTGCTCCGTCGCGGGCCTCCACCTCTAGCGCGTACGCCCCCTGCTTTTCTCTGTCGAACACCACCTTCGTGAAGATTTCCCCAGTCTGCATGCTGATCTCGAAGAAGTCCTTGCCTTCGTTCCGCGGTGAATCCACTATGTAGTAGTACACCTAAAAAGAACGGGTGATTTATTCATAAAGTCCGATACATGTTCTGCATATCTTAATATTTCGGGGTCCTTTGTTTACTTTCGGAAACAAAACTGGGGATCCTTTCATAAAATATGTTCGTACAAGCAAATTCGAGAATCCTTTCTTTCAACATACGTCCGTAATAAAACGTTGCGATGTCATGTCACAGAGCTCATACAGTAATATTACACACACGGGGTGCGATGTAAATTCCTGAAATTACACTTAAACTCTGTAATGTGGCGTTTCAATATCCGAAAATGTAATAAACTGCCCTCAAGGGTTTCAACAAATTCCCTGTCACGTTCTTATATTCGGTAAAGATTTAGGAAAAATATAATACAGTGGAAAAATTTAAGGCCAATGAGGAAGACTGACGCCATAGAGCGTCGTCGTATAAAAAGTGTCAGTCGTCAACGTATAGATTCCTTTGGTAGCGAAGCCTGTCAACGTTATATCTGACACGCGTCCAATTACATTTTCCGAATTTTTATTCACGCAAAAAAATAGGTGGAATGATGTCAAACGAAAAAATAAATGCGGAAACTGGTGTTGATACTTGTATCGGTTGATTCGAAACATAGAACGGTGCGAAATATTCAACCGTTTTGTTTAGTGAATTCATGTTCACGCTAGTTTTGTTTTTAAAGTTACTTTCAATTTAGTAGTTTAAATAAAAACTAGGATTTGAATGCTCATCTTGCACCTTTGTACAAAATAACAGTTTACCAACGTGCTTCTCGAATCGTATTCCTTAGTAACAAGAACGCGTTCAAAGCAGACAGTAATAAACTTAACTAAACGGTTCTAAAGACGTCTTACTAACCTAGAACTCCTTTACTAAACGCATCAGTTTAAATAATAGATAGGTTTCAGTTCAGCGCAAGGAAACTAGCGAACAAGCTATTATGTGGATGCACTAGCTACCTACACTCCTAGATGCAATGTACCTAGATGTTAAACGCACACTTTAGGCACCCTAATGACAGCTGTAACGTACGGAACTCGGAACTATAACGAAACAAGTTATTTCACTTTGAATGTCGCATTTCGGGCGAATGGCGTTCGTAATAAGCGAATATTATTAGCAAGTATATAGGTAGGTGCCTATGCATAAAACTTTCCCGTTTCCAGTTTACAAGACTCAACTGGTTTCTGAAAATTAACTTTATTGCGTGATATATAAATTTTAGTTTGCTTTAAAGCTTAAAATTTTCATGGCAAGTTACTGAATTCTGAAAATAACTTTAAATATGCAGTTATAAAAACGTGAGCTTATTACTTGTTACTTAAGCATCTGTAACATGTTCCATAATAGGAAATATAAATATACTATATCTGGTTATAATTGTGGTACAACGCAGAACCACAATAATGATTATCGAATAACGACGGAAAGAGACAACCCTCTTATTTTTTTTAAATTAAATAATTATACGTAGATCAATTCGTACACGCCATTCGGAAGATTCAGCAAAATTCCACATTCCACACACAAAATTTGACAAAATACAATATCAATCTGACAAGAAAACGTATTAAAGAGAAACCATACGAAAAATCTAGTGTGAAAGAAAAAAAATGGTGACTGCATTATCATTACTACTAAAACTAAGGGAAAACTTTCAAGTAAGTTGACACGAAAATATTTAATATTCAAAAGCTCTTAAAGGAACCTCTAAATTCTAGAAGTTAGTGCAGAGTACGCTATTCTGTTCGCTTTACGTTGGAGGTTAAGTAAATCTTGCTGTAGCCAAACCCAGACAGATGTTCCACGGTAACTGAAAGATGAAACGTCTAGCTAACACTACCTGAAACTTGGAAATAACAACTCCGACCCAATTACAATCCAATAACAGAATACTAGGAAAGTTCTTCTCGTGTGGATTTTAATAGCTACAAATAGAATCAGTTATTTTTCTTTGTGTCGTCATCTTCAGCTACAAGATGTCTTTCATAAAACATGTCTCCAACGTGTTTTATATGTGATAGGCCGGCAAACAATGATATTAACTGATGGTAAGCAATCAGCGCCGCCCATGGACAAAAGCAACAACAGATGAGTTACGAGTGCGATGCCAACCCTTTGGAGATTTAGGGATAAGGGAGAGATTGGGGAAGGGAAGGAACCTTACTCACAAGGCGAAACACAACGCTGCAGTTGTTTCACGCTAGTTTTCTGTGAGGACATGGTATCACTCCGGTCGACCGTCGAGCCGACCCATTCGTGCCGGAGCATAGCTCTCCCATACTTAAACGTCTATGACGTTACTATTTTATAAAACGAAATTAAATAAATAAAACGTCTTTAAATAGCTGAGCTCGATATCAAATAGTTTTTACCTAAACTATAAGAAAAAGGCTATCGGTATTCTGGTATTGCAGAATTCGCATCACTGATATTAACGGTGCTCGATTTTGTACATATTTGTTATTTAATTAAACATATCCAGCTTTTAGATAAAGCCAAGTTTAAATACGTTTTTTAAAATTAGCTATCTAATAAATTATCTATATACATAGCTAACAAACAACGAGATAGTTAATCAATGAACAAGTCAATTTTATAATAAACGTAATCTTCAAAATGATTATAATTTGCTTTTGTGACCTCTAAACTTAAGCCAATTGATGTGAAGCAATCAAATTTGGTACAAAGACCTTAACTTACTCGTAATGATTGCTTTTCCTAGAAGCTGTAGACAAATTTACGGACGATTACTATATTATTAATAGATTATTAGGTACCCAAGAGTAATTTTTCCATTCAGTACAAAGCAGGTATATATACTAACTTGTAGTATTAACGAGATAATCTATACATAAGTTCGCACGAAATGGTCGGCTCGACCGGAGTGATACCACGGCCTCACAGAAAACCGGCGTGAACCAACCACAGCGTTGTGTTTCGCCGTGTGAGTTAGGTTACCGGAGGCCCAATCCTTCCCCTCCCCCAATCCCTCCTCAATCCCTAAATCTCCAAATCCCTAATCCCTAAAAGGTCGGCAACGCACTCGTAACTCCTCCATTGCGGGTGTCCATGGGAGGCGCTGATTGCTTACCATAGGTCGTTTGCCGACATATAACATAAAAAAAAACATATTGATGACTATTTTATCAATCAGCGAACATATTAAGAGATGCTGTAAAAATCTATTAATCTAATTAACATTTCAATCGTGGTTATTCGAAACACAAGAGGTGCGCGAACGCTTGGGGTTTGATTAATTAAATATATATATAAATGTTTCAGAGCATGTATGTACTCTTACAGTCAGAAAACTAAATGTCTTGCTAATTTTAACTCTAAATACAAAGACAAACGAAATATTTTTAAACGATAATTGAATTGGGCGTGGTCTTGCCAGCTGGTATTTTGAGTGTCCAATGGAAATTGGATAGGATATCAACGCTGGACGACAAAAAAAGATGGTTGAAACTGTAACAGTTTCATGTCCATTACCGCCCACTATCTAAAATGGCCAGTCGCCTTCTTTTAGGCGACCATTCGAAGGTTTCTTTAGACATTTGGCTTCATAAAAAAAATATTTGCAATGTTTAATTTCATTCAATCATAAAATAATCGGGACACATTTAAGACTTATTTGTACATAACATAATATACCGCAGAACATAAAATCATAGAAATTCTGAAATGAGGTTTTATTAAGCTACTATTATTCGCCATAAGAATCCCATAATACTGGCCAATTCACAAATAGAACAAAGAAACAACTTACTCATCAATCGTGTTTCCGACATATAAACTAACGAGGCAGTCTATGAACAATCTACAAAGTAATTTATTTACTAAGACATAGTAAAAACACCTTAATTTATGGCTTAGCAAATAGGTTAACCGTAAACCTCCATTAAGAAAGTAATTACTATTTACAATAGAGCTAAAATTATGGCAATAACAAACAAATTTCATTTTCTTCCCATTATCTTCACTTCCTCTGAATTAATTGGAAATTCACGAATATTTACGAAGATATTTTAAATGGAATTTTAATTATGAATATTGGAATTCAGTGTCAGATACAGTTAGGAAATAAATTATATGAGACTAGCCCTCTACTCGCTGCTCTGGCCCTGTTACCGGGAAACATTTTCTCTAACTAACTAGATCTGATCTGCGAATCAAATATTATCGATTAAAATGTAGCAGTTTTAAAGAACGATCAAATATTTTTCCGTCAAAGATACATACTTAATATGAAGTTAGTATTATACGGATTGTAGATCAATAAGTATATCTACTTTCTAAATATACTAGGTAGGTATGTATATGACGATGCTCCCTATGAAAATGACAAGCCTCATAGTACAACTAACAAAAAGCATATATGTACCTACTCAGAGTAACATAACTCTGCTCTCATCTTCAAGGAATAAAAAGTTTTGTTAAGTTAAAATAAACATTCAACATTATGTACATTTACATTATATCTATTTTCGTCTGTCAGCAGTAGAAATAAAATAGAAGAATCTTAGGTAAAACTTTCCATCTCTTTTTCCCATTTCAAACCTAGTAGTTTACGCGATAAATAGGTCTTCCATCAGACTTACGTACTTAAACAAACTGCGTAACAATTTTCTTGGCCGGAGCTGTTGTTAGAATATTATAACCAAGATTTATTACAGCTCTACGCACTCTAGCAAACGGAATCGTCTTCACAAGTGACAATCACTAACAGTTACTAGAGTGTAAAAGCAAAAACGAAGAAATGAGAGATTCTTTTCTTTGGTAGGTATTTTATTTCTTTGTGCTGCGATATCGTAACACAATGAATAAATGTTGATTAAGTAGCCGTAACAAAGATGGCTGCCGAGGTATCTCGAATACGCATCATATATTTTCTATAAACGCACTGCAGCGAAGTTAAAAAGTCCACATTCTAAACGAAGGCCATGTATTTAATTATTCACGATTGCGCACCAATCCAAAGCGCAATCACAACGGTTGAAAATTGCATTTTTATTCCCTCGCGCTACCGAAAATTATAGGCACAGTAAATTGTAACAGTTGCATATTTGTACAAAAATATATACGCGACGAACGGTCGCGTCGTGTCTCTGCATGTTATCGTGGATTAATTAAAATTGTAGGTTTAAATATACAGAAATGGTTTACGCAACGAATATACGCCGGTGGAGCACGTACAACGATGAATTAATATTATAAAAGTGAGCGCGGCTCGTAGCCATTTTGAAGGACTGGACGTTTATGGCAAGGGGTGGCAGTCGCACAACCAACAATAAGACGTTTTATTATCCCGTAATTATATGTACATATGTAGTACGAGGATTTAAAGGATTTGTATAGGAGACGAAACACAAAAGGCTATATAAAACGTATGAAAGTAAGTATCACGGAGCCTGAATGCTGATATCAAACCCGCTTTAGTTTACATAGTACATTTGACATTAAAGTTACAAGTACCCCAACCCTGCCTTATCGGTGTTGTTAGGACGAAAGGTCAACACGGATTTTATGATACATAACAAGTCACGCATCAGTAAGTATGTATAAGTACATAAATAGCCCCTGCGTGTATTCTAAAGCGAGCTGCTTCCATTAAACGTGTAGAAAATGTACGTATCGTGTTCGTATTAGTAAAACGTTGAATATTGAGAGCTCCTCCACCATTCACTTTATAGTCAGGGATCCAGGTAAATGTTTTTCTATAGTAAGCCTTGTAGAGTACCTACCGACATACAACGCGAAATGTTTAGAGATCAGTACAGATTTTGAGTTAAATATTAGTACAACAATCCCAATCAAAACTTATTGTTAAAACATCAAAATTATAAATTAATTTTACAGTTGTTTGTTCTGATTAAAGTTTCCTTTTGTTGTGTTATTTTATACAATTTGATTGTTTGGTCAAAATCCTAATTTATTATAGTGTTTTAACCGCTTTCATGATATTGTAATGAATAAATGTTAAGAGCTTTGTTTAGATTTCTATTGCGTATGGTTAATCGTGGTTTGGTAAATAACAGATTGTAAACATTTTTACCTACATAAACACCCACAATACCAAATGACTGACATGTTGGTAGGTATTTGAGAATTAGGTAATAGGGGATTCAAAAAGGGGAGGGAAAGGATTAGGCCCCCGGTAACCACACACGATAAAACACAAAGCAAGCGTTGTTACACATGGATTTTTAAGACCATGGTATAACTCCGCCTGATTTGGCCCATTGATATCAGAGCATTGCTCGACGCGATGACCTTCGTTATTGATTTGTCTAGTCTAGGTACGAGTTTAACAGGACTAGACTCTCAGATTCTACACCTTACATTCTACTAGATACTTTATAAGGTAAACCACTCCAATGCAGAGTTTGAGTATTATTATTATTGTTCCCCGTCTGGAATTAATTCCAAAGCGCATCTGCCAAAGTTAAACTACCCATACATAATGTATAATATCTGCCTTTTGGTTACTGCTAGCCGAATATAGGAGGCTAAAGGAGCTATTCCTAAACCGATTTAACAAGCAAATTGATTACGCTCTACTCAACTAATACCACAGTACATCGTGTTCGTATGTATGCATGGTTACAATTTACACATTAAGTTACATACCTACAACTTGTGTTTACAAGTTGATCTATGTCAATGGTTCCTCGTTTCCTCAATTAAAATTAAAGATTTTGACCAAACTTGAGGGTTTTCCCAAACTCCAAAAAATGAGAAGTAAATGTGCAAATCTAAGAATGGAATTGTGTTTTTTTCCCATCGCCACTTACACATAATATGCTTAAAAATAATCATCAACTTCAGAAACCACTCGTAAGCAGTAAGAACAGGCTCTTGACTAAATTATAGCCTCGTGGACCACCCGCTAAGGCTAAGCTTTGCTTAACTTGAAACTGTGTTTAAATATGTAGCCATTCTTAACTTATTCGAGAGACCTCAGTTCCCCTAAGAGTACGTGGAGTCTGACTACTGGTTAAACATTAACCTGAATCTGAGCTACACCCCCCAAGACAAATAGTGTGAACACTAGTCGAATTGAACAGCCACCCTGGACAAAACACATTTAAAAACTAGTCTGCCAAGTGAATAGAGAAGTTCAGAATAAGTTCAAATTACGTTTGATATTATTTGTAAAATAATACCCGATTATAGGATTCTATCAAAACATGTACACAGAAGAATACCGAAATAAGTATTATATTAAAAGGTAAACGGTACTTAACATCTATTTCATAAAACAACTACTAAAATATGGCATAGTAATAAGCCAATGTCATTCCTATTTATTAGGTTTTCTGTTTCATTCGTCTAGCATTTAAGTAAGGTAACAAGTTAGAGATATTGGTTTCAGAAAGTTTGACATCGTAAATAAGCAAAATCATGAGAATGCATTACATTGTAAGTGTTAAAACAAACCACAACTAAGCAAACAGGATCGGACAGAAATCTAATTAGACCGTTAATAAAAAACCTGTTGTAAGGCTAGCTACACATCAGAGAAAAACGTTTATCGGGAAATTGTTTTTGAAATCCCCAATCCAAAAACAACGAGAACTCTCCTTTGTGTACAAGACTTTAACTGTGAGGTTAATGGGGCTATAAAAAAGGAGTTTAATGAATAATAAACAAACAACGAAATGGTTTTGGTTAATTTTTACCTTGGGAAAAGAGATAGCCACGATATTCCGTTTTCTACCTTTATTTGATATAACTTTAGCGTTAGAAACTTGGGCTGTTAATAGAGGTTCGCAGTTATAATTTTGAAGGTCAATGTACCCATGTACATACCTAAAGGAACTCTCTAGTATGGACTAATAACATGGACAAAGTTTGAAATTGTAAAGAGCTTTGCGAGATTCTATTACGAAAATTATTTATTTCGCGTAGGTACTTATGTATTGTGTGTAGATTCGAAAATAACGATAAAAATACTTATAAATATTTATCACAAAATACGATAAGTCAAAACGTCACGATATTCAACAAACCTTACAAAAGTCGCCAGTATGCGACCTCACGAACACGTGGCATTCTCCTCTCAAAGGAGTGTAAATTATAAAAATATGCTCTATTTACCTTCCTACAATAAGAATTGCATTGTTAAAAATACATACAGTTCTATATTCTGCTAGATTCAAGTTTCGCGCTAGCTAGAAAATGAGGTTAAACACGGGGAAACGAATTCTAAAATTTGCTAAAGACACTGTCTACACAACTCATTAGTGGTAACCGCTTAATGAGCAGAATAGAATAAAAAAGGTTTAAGTCATGTAAAATATTCTAGCCATAGATCCTAGAGAGCTGAGATCGTGATTTAAAATGAATTGACATTCGATTCATTGGATTTTCCTTTAATTTATGCCTGATGATAATATTTTGTCGGATTCGGATTGAGATTTGATTGCATCAATGTAAAGTTACATATTAAAGAACTACAATTTTATCGATTCTAAAAAAAACAATATATAATTGCAAATAAAAAAGACATGACAGCATCATGTCTTTTATTACTTTGAGGTTTATAAATTATTAAATGTAACCTGATTTTTCGCCAGTTTTGTTGATTCATAAATAATAGAAGATATTTAATTGCTCAAAACTTGGTCAAAATTAGACTCTTTTGAGTAAAATTAAAGTGTATAATATAACACGTTCAAAAACGTAAACACGTCGTCAGCTAAATGTAAAGATTGAACATGAACAAATTAAAATGTACTTTTAACCAACTTTCCTTTTACCTCGTTTAAATATTGACGATATTTCTGAACTTTGACATGACAGACGCGAAATACGTGAAAAGCTCGATCAGGCGCCATTTTTATAAATCATTATAAATTCTACGCGGTAGGTATTTTGGTATAAATTTAAATTAAATTAAAAATCAGTATCAATAGGTTTTACAGCTATTAACCAACTTTTGTTTTGGCCAATTATTACGGAAAATCTTATTTCATCTGACATTCGAATTCTATATTTGAACGGTTGTGAATATATTTTTTTGTTTTTGTAATAAGAATAATTCCAATTATTCTTATAAACATAAGCGATAGCTTTACTTAAGAACTGGATTAAAATTTCCGGATCACCTAGAGGTTTTAACTTGGAACAGGTCAATCATAATGGTTCTTCAGGAACGTGTCAATCGCCTTGGTACTAGGCCCTCAGACATACAAAACAAAAGCCTAACGAACGAGCTGATTCCTAATTATTTTTTAGGTTTCAACGAAAATTGAAGTATCCTTACCTGGTTATTGGGGAATGTTCCGTCCTTGTCGATAGCGTTGACCTGCGTCACCTTCGTCCCGATGGGCTCCCCCTCAAGCACCGTCTCTTGTTCCCTCTCAGTGAACAGGGGGATCTCGTCGTTCACGTCTTCAAGCATGATGTACACCGTCGCTTCAGAAGCCAGTTGCTGGGCGCCGTTGTTCTAGACAAAGGAATTTTATTTTAATGATAGGTTTTTAATGTTTGGATACCCATGTTACGTCATGGTAGTACTTCAAATAATACGGAAATCGTTGATTTGTTTTGTACCTACTTTGGTAATCCGATTCGTAGTTATGATGACGATTCCGTTTCAATATCGTGAAATTTATTTGAGAAATCTCAAATAAACTATTACCGTTTCTATTGACTGTATTCAAAATCAAATTCGTCGTTGATAAAGCCTATTTATATCGATCAGTTCATCAATAAGGTAACGCACACATGAACTAGGTGGTGAATTGTACGTAAAATTGATTGGATTTAATATGTTCCAAACGCGATACTAGTTCCGGCCACAGAGTTATATTCTGGCAGCGCACACGAACAATACATAAACGATCCGGACTCATGTAAACAAAACGAATATTTGAATAACAATTCCGAAATATTGTTCACAATGCTACCAAACGGTAAATTAAATGTGACAAAGACGATAAAACAATTTCATGACACTGTTACCTTAGGCAGTTTCATTATTCGGACTTGGAGTGGATTTTATTACCTTAACTTAGTATTGTATTAAAGCTTGACTCACCTCCACTCGGATCGTAAGATTGTATTCCTTGATACTCTCGTAGTCGAGAGGGTGGTTAACTTTTATATCGGCCCATGTAAATCCGTTGTCGGCCCTTTGTTGTAAATAGAATGTGTGGAATTTGTTGGTCTGAGCCGTGGAGCCGGGCATGAGCCGATAAAACACGGTCGGGTTGTTCTCAATACCCGAACTGAAAATATAAAACATGCTATAACAACAATTTCCTACGTCATTAAAAGAAAATCACGGAACAAAAACAGCTACTTAATGCACATGACGACATTTACGGCAAAACATAAGTACTTTATTGTTAGGCAAAAAAATGACTTTAGGGGCTTCAATGAAAACAGAGGACTAGGTATATTAAGAATTTGAATAACTAGGGAAAACGAAAATAAAAATTACCAGCTAGTAACATTATTACGGTAAATCTTTTACGGTTTGGTAAATCTGAATGTTCTTGAGTAAACGTGAGTAAACCTCAAAGGATTTTAATAATCCAACCGTCGACTCGGTGTATGAACTTCGTAACTCTTTATTCGATCAGTTGGTAAATAGTTGAATAGCAAGGCTTGCCTTCAAATTGTTTGTGCGGTGGATGCGTGTACCCAGTTAAAAGATTGCTGGAATATTTTTCATAGCGAGATAGTATTTTACCGAGTTGCGTATTTCGTAGTTGCGTCGTTCAGCTTTTTGTTTTAATTTATTTTTTTCGAAATTCCAACGAGATTAAATTTTTAAAGTGAAGAGTAAAAAATTGTGAAAAAGAAATTTTGTATCTACCTACTACGTAATTCTGATATAAAAGTAAAAATAGGGAACTTTATATTTCACAACAAGATTATGACGTCACACAATTGTAATATTGTGTTTGCACAAAACCTACTTTTGAATATTCGGTTGGTATAAGGTCCCAAAAAAAATTACATGTTCTGTTCTTTTTTATATGTACTGAACTAGCATTTGGCCTCGACTGGACTAAAAACGATATTGCGTTAACCGACGGAACCACGTCTACCCATAAGCAACTCGAGCCTTGAAGACATCCAGCTGAGAGAGAATTCCACTTCTTAGCGATTCTGATGAGAAAAGTAAAAGCGAAATGATAGCCACTATAACGCGGTGACGTTTTGCCGAATATCTGATGGAAAGGACTTATAAGATTCAAGTTGTGCAATTCTCCTGAACACTCACCGAAGTGTGTCCCGTAATAGACCAAATAGCCACAAATGCCACAAGCACATCGTAGCGTATCCTTAATCTAATGTAACAGATATTAAGTACTAACAGAAGGTGTTACCCAATTAAAAACAGAGATAACTGGGATGACTTATTCCTAACAAATGTAATATAATACCGTACAGTAATATCTAGTCATACTATAGCCAGTACCAATCAATCAACAAGAAGTATATTTATTTACCACACTAATGGATCAAAAGCGATACAGAAATCAGTAGGCAAATGTACGTATTGCGATATTTGTAAATTACAGCGCAACCATACATATTGTTTCCGGATGAACGTTATTTGTATTAAAACAAAATTGAACTATTTTAACGAAGCGAGCTAAACTGAATACAGCATCCACATCTAATTTATTAAAACGAGACGCGAATTACTCTTTGTTTCATAAAATCTATTGACGTTTATATAAAATGCATTGTAGACTTTATAAAAGGCATTCAGTATTACCAAACTGTAACGATATTACACGCGTGAGTTTTAATATTATCCTAAATTTAGAGGTAATGGCCATAAGTACTTCATTTATTTCTCTTTGCAGTGTATAGCATCCTGAATAAAACAATACCTACAACTCAGCAAGAAACATTTTCTATAATCTGTTTTTTGAGGTATTAAAAAAAATCACGCGTGTATTTATAATACTCGTATTTAAAGGCTGTCACTATTGATACTGTCAAGTAAAATGACAGTTCCAAGAGTAAATTTTAAAATTAGAATGGATCCCTTCCATGCCTCAGTGTGAGGTGCAATTTGATATTCGCGCGCTCAATTCAATGGCGCTTATTCGACAACTTGACGTTGCCCAGATTTGAGGCGAATTTATGTAAATTTTAGTAAGGTGAGTTAGTAATGGTTTCGTCTTCGTGTATTAATAATATCGTGAGTTTTGAAATGTGTGTTGTTTAGGACGAACAGATAGACCATAGAGATGTGAACCAAACTTGCCATCGACCAGCACTCAGTGATTGATGCACTATTTTCAACTAATATTGCATAACAGTTACATTAAAATCAAGAGCCCGTGGCACATAAGTGATGCACATACATTTATTTAGTTTAGTATCAACCGAATATACTTACTGTTTCACATCATTAACTTACAAACATTTAGTAACCTACTAAGTTTTCCATAAAAAATCTCGAATTGTCAGTAATTATTGATTAATAATTACTACGAACATTATAAAAGGATGAATCAAAAACGTTAATTTGAAATGAGGTCCTTTAAACGCAATCAAAACATTTTTTCAAGTTTAGAACTTTTGAATAAAACCTTAATTGGATATTTATGAACTTTGGCAATTAGCAATTTGATAACGAATTCGCTAAATTTTACTTTTCACTTCAGAACAATTTAGAAGAGTTTATAAATATTTTAATGAATCGAAATTGACTTAGGATTTTATATTTAATTTTAGCGGATTAATAATGAGGATTCTAAATAGTTAACTCAAATGAAATCCTAATTGAACAACATCAAAAAACAAAATTGTCAAGCACTATATCGATAAATTGAAATGAACTTTTCAAAAAACGTAAAAAGTAAACGGATGAACATTTACCTACACAAAACTACTAACTAAAACATTTTAAAGTATCATTTAACATGCTAATTTGACCCGAAGGATAAATTTCGAATAAATTTTAGTTAAAACTTTGATGTAGGGTAACTCATAATGCACTGATGCCTCAGCCTACATGCAATACGATACACAGACTTCAATATTAGATACCCATTCTATACCTCTCACGGTTGTCCAACAAAATCTATTTGACATGACTCTATATCTACGAAGTCTACACAAATAATTATAAAAAATACATAGTAGGTAATCTATAAATTGTATGTTCAAATAGATGTCATTGGACGAATAAAACACAGTGTTCCCCGTTCCACGTAAGCAGTGAGCCCTTCTAAATGCACGCTGGTGAATCACGACAGTCCGCGTGTGCCATAACGATGCATTTGATGTTTCACGGACAATGACAGTAACATCGTATTCTGATCACCAAGTGAGAGGCAAACGATACTGGAGACGCACGCGACGTTCCGCCATGCCGCGCAAGCAAAGCCCTCCGAGCTTGCGCATCAGGTTTAACTCATACAGCAGGTCAGAGGACTCACCGGAGAATAAGACGAGTTTAGTGATGCATTCTCTTTTGTTTCAAGCAAATGTTACATTTTAATGTTTGAAACAAAAAGAAACGCCGTCAGTGAACATCGTCCTGTTCGATGTTAAGTTCACACTCTACACATCACTAACTTACTCTGCTTGTCATTACGACTGCTGAGAGCTGAATATCTTGCCAGCTCCGAGAAGTCGCAGTAACAAACGAGCACCTGGCGACGAGAGAGCGCGAAGGAGCATGGCGGGCGCGCGACGTCGCACTGGGCGTGCAGGTGACGGGGCTGCGTGCGGTGCCCGTGCCGAACAGTTACCCACGCACCTTGCTTTCACGGACACCACTTTGGCACCCACGGGTAAATTCTCTCGAATGTAGATCGGGCCATACACCGTGTGGTCCCACACGGGGGGATTGTTCGCGCGATCCACTACGTCTATCTGGACCTCCACGGTTCTGGACAAGGGCGGGAAACCCTTGTCTTGAGCCATAGCCTCCAACTTGTACGTTTCTCGCTATCGGGGAAAGAGTCGATGGAAACAGACAAAACCACGTCGTTAGTAGTGTTAAGGAGTGGAGGTGCGGCGGGCCCGTAGGCCCGCTGCGCCTTATACCAACCTGGCTTTCACACTGGTCACTACGGTACCCACTGTGACATTCTCTTTGATGTGAACGGGGCCATACGTGGTCATGTCCCAGATGGGGGGCTTATTGTTCCTGTCTACCACGTCTAATTCAACGTCCACGTCTGCGGAGGAGGGCGGGTCGCCTCTGTCGGAGGCGCGCACGCGCAGTCGGTACCTGTCCCGCTACAGATACACGGGTCAGAGGTCAGCGGGGAGAAACAAAACAGAACACAACTAAAATATAAACACAAGTACTCATCGCTAAGAAACAATTAAAATAATTAAACAAAATAAACTGAAGAACGATTCACTTCCACATTATAGGCTGTTTGCAAATGTTTTATTTCACAGTATAATGTGCTAATAAAGTAAAAGCTTGCACTCATCTTCTCACATCCAGTAAGCCAAATAAAAATATAGAAGAGTAAGGATCTAAGGAGAATACAGAAGTTGTAATTAGATTAGGTTCGCTCACGTCGTCTGCTCGCACTCACAGCACAGGCTCTGTCGGACTTACAGTAGAACATTCCGTACTGTTGTAGCCAATATTAGATGGTGCAAGAAATAAATTGGAAATAAAATATTTACCATATTTTACAAGTTTCGTCTGTACAATAAGGAGAAAGACAAACTGTACATTATGGGTATTAGGTACTTTTTACAGTAATCAAACTAAACTAATCTTAAAAATTAAAATAAAAACTCAAAGAAAAGCAGGCAATGCATGCAGCTCTGCATACAAGACATGGCGGAAAGGTCAGGTTGTCATATGAATGGTTTGGTGACCTCTTAGTTACTACAACGAAACGACACTCATTGAAATGAATATATTACAAACGATGGACGTTACGGTAAACTGTACAAAATTTTGATTCGCGAACGTTGCCCCTTTCACAGAAGGAATATGTCACAACTGGACAGATGGCCAAACTGCCTTGTGGGCAATCTGACCATCTCGATACTAATAACTAATATTATACAAATTATATTAATAGCACTGCTGCCCTGGAAAAAATCACAATTATCATGGTATTACTATTGCACACGATGTCATATTGCATGAGTAGTCGTCTACAACACAGCATGGACGCGGCCAGGGTCGAACCGGCCGCGCGGCGGGAACTATTGCTCCGCAAAATAAAATCAGATTAGTAACAAAACATGTACATAATACATATAATACTGATAGGTATGTTAAAAGCGTAAGCTTCCCAAATCAATTAATCATTAATTACAATAAAATAAACTTTTAAACTAGTTTGTGCGAAATATACAGAAGTGCTGTTACAGAAACTGTACATGTTTTAGAACTAAACATAGGTTCAACGGTGAAATATTTACAGCAGTATAATTTCTGGTACAAGGTTAGTATTATACACAAGTCGTATTCATCTGTAAGATAGTTAATGCAAGACGGTGCTGCGGAAATAAATCTTAACGAAGATTCAGTGCGGAGCCGACGCTGGCGGCAACTCAAACTAAAAGTGCTGCAAGAAGAACAAGCCCCCGACGGCCGCGGGGCCCGCAGCCCCACGATGCCGTTCAATGGACAACTACTCCTCACAGCCAGGATTTACCCCTCTCCACAGCAATTTACAGCAGCGGTTAATTTAGAACTATTTACAGTTAAATCAACTTAAAGTATGTGCCAATTGAATCCTAAGGCCTGTAGGTAGCACTCATCCACCAAACTTTGTAGTAAAGTTGATCCCTTTCATTCGTCACGCTTGTTAATTCTCTCACCAGTGTGATCAGTGTGAAGTTATAAACGGTAAGCATACTTACGTCGAGAGGCTTCTTTAACACAATCCAACCCGATTCGGGCTGGATCTCAAAATACTCAATATCAGCAGGATTATAGGGTGCGCTCAAAGTGTAAACAATGGCACCGTTATTATCTGCGTCCTCGTCAGATGCGGACACTCGCAATATGTTCGTGCCAATACTGGCGTCTTGTTTTACGTTCTCCACATATTTCTGCAAGACACATTATAATCACAGTCAACAATCACGATGGATCGCTGAAATACATGCAAACAAAAATCTAGGTGTGATTTCATGCAATTATGTGCTTTATACTGCTACTGTTTATGTACACTATTGCGCTTACTTGTCGGTCGAACAGTGGAGGGTTGTCGTTCACATCGGTGATTTCAACAGTGAACGAGCAGACACCTTCTAGTGAAGGCTCTCCCTGATCTGTTGCCTTCACCGTCACTGATACGAATTTACCGTCGTCGCCTTCTCGATCGAACACTTTGTTAGTTGATACTTCACCAGTTTCTTCGTCGACAGTGAATTTGGTGCCTTTTTGATTCGGTTGTTGTACGATTGAATATTTTACTTGACCATTAACGCCTTTGTCTTCGTCCGTGGCGTGGACTTTGATAACAGGACTACCGTTTGGAGCGCCTTCTTCCACTTTTGGGAAGTAAGTAGGACAGTCTTTGAATATTGGTTTGTTGTCGTTTACATCTGTTATAAATACGACGACAACAGCAGTAGAGGTGTGGATCGTTGCATCTCCGTTGACACAGCAGGCGCCGTCATCCATAGCGGTGACATTGAGTTCGTATTTGTCTCTGTCGAGTGATATTGCTTTGTTGTGTAGTCGTATGACACCAGTGATTTCTTCGATTACGAACTGGCCTGAACTCGTGCCGCCGCCAACGAAGCCAAACCGCACGTTGTCGCCATCTTTGTCTGAAGCTACTACCGTCGTCACTAGCGTGTTAGGTCCAGCATTTTCATCGACATTAGGAGTGTATACTTGCTGTGAGAATTTAGGTTCTTCATCGTTCTTGTTCTTGGTGTAAACTCGGACGGTTGCTGTTCCGGTTTTAGCTGGTTCTCCCTTGTCTTTAGCTGTGACTACAAACTCATAGTAAGCGTTATTGTTGTCTGCGTCTAATTGCTTGTTGTTTGTGATGATGCCGTTTGAGTCCACACTGAAGTGATCATCTGGAATGGTAAACAATATATTTCGTTAATCCATTAATGCTCACATCATTGTCCTTAACTCTGTTCGTACTGTTAACAAATTAATAAACTGTTGAGTTTATACAAACTTAATATTTTAGCGACATCTTAATCACGATTAGAAATTACATAGCCAGAGCAACATTCAACATGCCTATAGCCCTACGTCAACTTTGGATTAATGAAGTCGAATTTGTTGATTTGCAAGCTTTTAGAATTGCTAGCTCATTAAGTGTGGCTCCATTAGCCATAAGTCACTTGCAATAATATGGCTCTGCCTACCGACCTACAGTAGAGCTCCCCATCCAGGTAAAAAGTCTTTCAATTTAATAAGTTCGTGCATAGCTGCTCCGTTATATGAAACGAGTAACAATAGAATTTCCCGAAATCTGTAGGTGTCTATAAATCATTAGTTTTACCTTCGCGCGTAGCGTAAAAAGGTCAACAACCTTAACGTACAGCGCCATCTAGGGATCTTTTAGTCATTACAGTTTCTACAGTAAAGTACTAGATGGCGTTAGCAGTTACAACCATGTCGTGGAGTAGATTGAGTCATTTACCTGAAACTAAATACTCGATTTCTGCATTTTTCCCGGAATCGGCGTCCATTGCTTTGACTTTTAGTATGCTGGTGCCTAATGGAATGTCTTCGTCGACGTTGTGCGCCTGGTAGTCGGGTAGCTCAAACTTTGGCGCGTTGTCATTTACGTCTGTCACGCGAATCGTTAGCTGTGGAAAGTTAAAAATAAAATGATCACACTGCGTTTCCGCAATCGTTGGTAAAAATATTTTGGAACAAATATTTCAGGAATTCTATTTAGTTCTTCTTTCTTATAAGTAAAATGCAATACGTGTTAGATTTCTACAACAAAAATATCATCATTCGGGTTTCGGGGAATCAAAAACATGAGATTTTCTTTAGCATCTATTAGATTTCTAAAAGAATGATGCAGATCACAGAACGTTTGATCTAACGAGAGGACTTGCTACATTAACCTCTCCCTATAACAATTAATTAATTAATTTAATTTAACTACGTACCTCTACTGAAGTAGAAAAACCTCCAGAATCTTCGGTAGCGGTTACCACTAACGAGTACACGTGGGGTTGCCTCAAATCTTCGAAGTCCAGTTCTTTAGCCAACTTCACGATTCCTGAAGTAGGTCCGATGTTAAAAGTACCAGCGCCCTGACCTTGAGCCTTCAACGTGTAGCGAATCTCGCGGTCAGCGAAAGACTTGGCTTTCACTGAGATAATACTGGAAAGAGAAAGAAGCAATTTTAATAAGTTGTTACTAAGACATAAATATTTGAATAAGATAAAAATAGACAAAATGAACGTTGGAACGAGTTAAGGTCATCTTCATAACCGACTCTTAATTAAAAATCTTTAATTTGTCGGTAGCCTTATATTTTGGGCGGGAGAAGTCATTTGATGATTTTCGCCTCACAGAAAAAAAGGCTCCAGTCAACTAAACTTTTATTTATTTTCTAGGCTCGAATACGTTTCTCTCGCCAACCAATCGTATAACAGCACCTAGGGATCCCATCTAGGGATTAAGGAAAAATCGCACGATGAAACCTCTTAACCATAAAAAAAATGACATTAACATGATATTACGTCAAAACTTCACCCCTGATTAATTTTACTGCTATTTATCGCAATGTTTAATCGCAGGTCACCGAAAACATCATTACAAGGCCAATTAAACGAGCTATTAACATAAAATTACTGAACAATTGGGTAATAAAACACCAAGTTTGTTTATTCGAATCATATTGTGAGATAGACATCGTTAATGACTGACCCAGTTACTGTTTATACGGACGCATGGTTGTTGGTGAAATTTTAACAATTGAACGTGTCAACACTCTCTGTATCAATTTAGTTCAGCTCAAAGACTGAACAATTGAATTTAATATGAATTAGATAACTATGATGATATACTGCTGAGTGATTGATTTATGAAGATGATCTTCTGTAGAGTCTAGTTAGGTCAGTCAGATCTCCATTCAGCCGAAGTGTGTTATTACACTTACTACTTACTTACGTTACTTTTAATAAGGTACTCTGCTATGTGTATGAAACTAAAAAAACGGAGAAATCTATGTCTCTGGACTGAAATTAATAAATGACCTTGATCCACCTGACCAAAATCTCTGGTCCAATCAAAATTTTTAACAAAAGTTCAATAAAACTATAAAATAACGTCACAAATCGATCTCAAACTAAAAATAAATATAGAGATTTGTTATTTAGTTCAGCCACTAAACGAGAGAAGTAAATAATAGGAGCAGTTGGCGTTTTATGTTTAAAAATAGCAACGATGAATATGTATTTCGATAAAATATTTTTAGGCACACAGAAACTTGACAAAAGTCGCAGCCAAATGGAAACTATTTACGTAATTAGGTAACAGTTGTAGGCGTAAACTTTTACAGTCTGTAAAGGGTCATAAACTTAAGTAATGTAACGCATAAAAAATTGTTTAGTACCAAAGTCATAACCACCTTGTGTTTAACACGGTTGAGGTAAATATCTTCAAAAACCTTTTCCTAGGTCTTATGTTGTGTTTGTTTTTATCCTAGGTGATTCGGGCCTTAGCTTTTTCTATCAGAGGTCCAACTGAGCTGCTGCGGAGGATTTGCATTCAACTTTCTTTTTATTGAAATATTAAGATCCAGTGGAATATGTATGTAATTAATACTTCATTTAACTTCAGCAAACTTAGCAGCAAGCATTTTTATTTTTCCAAATTAATTAAAAACTGCATTTAGACATCATTGATAAACGGTGAACGAAACCATCGCGCGGAAACCTGGCCTTGTAATTTCTAATTAGAAGTTTGATATCACCAATCCGCCTTGAGACCTTCTCCGTGTGAGAAGAGGTCTTTGCTTAGCAGTATGTGTGTATGTTATCATAAGTAGTAACAAAATTTGTTTTTGTAAGTTATAATATTTACGTAAACAGAAATCTCCGACCGTACTCGACACAGTGAGCAAGGTCAAGTATTCCATTACTCCCGCTCCACGTTTTCTCACAAAAATATACAAATACAAGTGATTTGTTATCGCTCTAGTATGACAAAGAGGAAATGTACCAACACCAATAAATTTGTTCTTAATATTCTTATTTATTTTCCTTTGCCATTCGGTCAGAAAAACTGATATTATTTATTGGTGACACCCAACAGAAACACTAATGTTTTCTATTTCCATTTTTGTACTTGAATAAAGTTAGTGAGATATATGTCATTGCTTATCGGCCATTCTCAATATCCGAAAGATCTAGGAACTTGTTTTTTTTTGAAGGGTGTACATATATGTAGGAGTGTCACTCTCTTACTTACTTATTAACCACGCCATTCTTTCACCTGCTCTAGTCCAAGGCCGCGGTACATAATACCCGCCACCCCGGCAAAAAAATGTAAGAAAAATTCTAATATTTCTCTCTATCAGCTACATCCATATATCATTAAGTAGTAGTCAAGTGAAAAATAATTAGTTGGAACAATGTAATTATGAGAGGCATAATTATCATAGTTCATGTTATGATAACAGATATTTAGAGATTTCTGATCAAGCAATTCCGATTTCAATTATATAGTATTTAAGGGTAAAAGTTGAATTTTTAATATGCTACACACAGATTTGTTTTCTTATGAGATAGAACGAACACCTTTAAACATTTGAAAAGTATCAAGAGATACGTGACACACTACACACAAGTGACCTCAGAATAATACGGAAGACTGACTCAACAACGGACGGACGGACGGACTATATACAACTACGTCATTCATTTAGTTACACCACGAAATGCTAACCGAGTTCCATGTTATTTAATGGAAGAATATGAAAATGTGAAATAGGTTTTTTTTTTAATAAAAAACCCCCACATTCGGACTTTCTGTGCCGTGGGTGCATTTACAAACATACAAATTGCCATACACAAACCACCTGGACCACAACAATTTGTGGATCACACAAAATGTTGTACTATGCAACATGTTGCATACCAGCAATTGGATGCAGATTGCTTCCAAACATGCCAATCTCAAGGTTATCGAGCGAGGTCTGTGTAGACGTCTTCTACATAATCAGATGATGTTAATAATGATATAGAAATATGCTTACTCTGAATCCTTCTTCTGGTTTTCAGCGATTTCGGCTTCGTAGCTAGGCAGGTAGAACTGGGGAGCTCGTTTGCCACCCACAATACTGAGCCGCTCCTCAGGAGTTGATTGGAATCTTCGCTCATCGACTCGGCCATTCTGTAATTTTATAAACGTAATTATACATTGGAGTTCATGATAACAATGCAGAAAAGAGTTTACCGGCTAGTTTCATCCTATCCGTAGTCAATTTCGTTACAGAGCATGGAATTTGGTGACAACTTTCTATCAAATAGTATGGCTAAAGACTAAGTAGTTGAAACAAGTCGCTAGATTTATTTATAAAGGAAATTATAACATTTTGATTTGAAATTTAACCGCCGTACTCAGAATCATTTAACGGTTACTTAAACCACCAACTTGTTTTAGGAACATAATCATTAAAATTTTTAATGTGATAGGATGGCTAACGAGTTTTTTGAAAGCAATTGGGGTCACCCATGTACACCAGCAGCACCAGAGGGCTAACGCGTGCGTTGACGGCCTTTAGGCAACAAGGGTATTCAGAGATTGGGATTGGCTTTATAAAACACTTTTAAATGTACATAATGTAGGATGAGGTATAGCTTAAACGTTTTTGCGTACGGCAGTCTTTATGAAGTTCACTTAAATCATGTAGAGTTTCCACACTATTACTGATTGATATACAAGAGTACCTAATAAATTTACTACATACAAGCAAATAAATCTCCATTATTGATAGATTATGGCGCAGACTAAATAATGACGGGCGACCCCATTTACCTAGGCTACACGTTCAATTACCTACACAGTTGAGTAACTATGTAATACAGTAATTTATAGATCAAACTCCAATAATACTATGTATACATATATAGGTATAGGTACTATGAAGGGTAATAATCAGCAAATGGAGTATTAATTTGTAAATAGATATTTTGAAGGCATTCAATAACAGTTTAAAAAATCTTTGCCTTTTAATGTTATTAAAAATTTATTGAAAATATTGTAACGACTTACTCGCTTGAATTAAAAGAAGAAAGCTCTACTAGTTTCAAGTCACAACTCCTATGCATGCGAGACTTGAAAAATTCAATAAATTGAGTATGTCTTCTAATAATTAGGATACAAAAATCATCAAATATCGCTTTTTACGATCGGTAAAGGAATTACATAAGATTGACTATTTACTGCAACTATGTAGGTCTTAATATCAGATAAGGGATAGAAGTTACAATTAGACCTAACTATAAAATTCAAAGTGAAGATATAAAGAAAATCTTTAGCCGTTATTAAAAAACTGTAACTACCATTTTATGGCTAAAGGAACATCCATTCAGGCAAAGGGTAAACCGCGCCACGCCATAAAATGTGAGTGTATGACTCATAAAATGTTGTGTCATGTGCATAAAATATTAAATTACCTAATTAGGTCAAGCGTGGTTTCTTTCTGCGAAGAAGCAGCAATAATATCTGACAGCACATTGCAACATTTACTAAGACGTTTTCTTTCCTATTACAATTCTTGGAAAGCAAGGAACAACGATCTTAATTAATTTACGAGATAAAATATAAAATAATAGACGTTATACAATAAGCAGGAAAACAAATACAACTATTACTTTGAAATATGTACGAAGTAATTTTTACCTAATAAACAAAGGAACATGTCAATTTTAATTTCAATTAGTTCACAGCATCGCACGAATATTAATTGGATTTAATACAATTACCGATGTTTCGCCAATATGTTTTAATTAATGGAACGATGTGGAATCTATAATTATCTGTATGAAATATCTGAGCACTGACCTGATCTTCAGCCTTGACGTACAATACGTATTCCATGTCGAGCTGGAAGGGATCGGTTCCTCGAGTCCTGACCACGCCTGACCGCTCATCGACCTCAAACCTTCCTCCAGTTCTGTCTCTGACGATAAAGTAATGGATGTTGTGGTCCGTATCAGGGTCTCGAGCTTGTAAAGTGAAGACTGGGGTGTTGGGAGCAGCGTTGAGCTGCACCACTGTCTGCATCGGCAAAGGCCGGTTGATGAAATAAGGAGGCTCATCATTCACGTCCTTCACGTGGATTATCACTCGCTGATTGTCCGTATCTGCAAAGCCACAATGTCAATGTCAAAGGGGCTCCTACAAACTCGCATTATCAAGTCAAGGGGTGTTTGTTTGAAGAGCTCTTGGCAAAACTATCAAATTATTAAGCGATCCGAAGTGTACTTGAGGGGTATTAAACCGCTGAAATTAATTAGGTACGCAAATGTGAAATGGGTGTTAGTTCAACCCAAATGTCGGACTCGCTCTCTGAAATCATAATAAATTTTCGCGTATAATTCAGACATCTTGGATAATCCTGTTAAAACACGGGCTATGTACGTAATATAAAATGCATGAATCAAAACGGGCGCTTTCATTTTGAGGAAAGTTTAGAGTATTGTTGAGTTTTCTGAAAAACCGCTTGATATACTGTGACACTAACAGTGGGGAGCAGTGGCGCCGCACTGTGGTTGTATATGTAAACAACAGTGCACCCTTTTTCTCTTGTGTGGCAGCATTCAGTATACACGACAGAGAATCCGCTTATCACGCGGTAGGAACAGTTTTATGCGGTTCGAGGAGAGTTTTACGTTGTGATTTTATAGCGGCGTCGACTAGAGCAGCGGATAAATATTTTATAGTATGCACTGTACAGGAGCACTCTGTACTGCATTCTGTAGAACCAACGTCTGACTACAGGGTAGTAAATTCGGACAAATTTTGTAAAACATTGAGCATAAGTTTACTTAGTCTAAAAGGCACACCTTCACGGAGCCTATAGGATAAATTACATAATTATACAATCATATAAAATAAGTTTTGTGTTTAGTAAATTATTATAGAAGGAGCCGAAATACAAAGACAATAAAGAAAAATAAAATTACTAAGATAGAACAAAAAGAAAATAGATACAAATTAAGTATACTTACATTTGAGCGCAACTGGTTGGTTAGCGTGAAAAATAAATACACAAATATGATTAGTATTGTAAGTTACCATCACCTTAAATATATATAAATAATTAGAATTAGATTAGAAAAAACATAACTTATTTAGTTAATAGAAAACAATTGAGAATCGCCACTTCTAATTTCCCTAATCACTAACCGCCATACTCCTAGGCTTTTAATGATTTCTTATCACAGCCCTTTAGCAATGGTTTTTGCAACGAAATCGTTACTTAGGAATAATTTAAGTTATCATTAGATGTCATTAAGTACGTAACGTCAGCATCACTTATCTCTAAAAGAACACGCAGAAGTGCATTATTACATTGTAAAGCCTACTTTTCATCACCTATAGTCCCAATAACAGGTGGTAGGTAATCTTACAGCCATTTACAAGGAACCATACCAATCTTCGAAAAGACCCAGATACAGGGGATTCTCCTACTTTTCACCTAACAATTATAACGTTGCCAATCGTTATCGCTGCCACATATTAACGACTAGCTATTCTCACGCGGTTTCACCCGCCGCTCGGGTCCATTTAATCGTAGCGTGATGTTGATCACTGAAAGAATTTTGGTAACCCGACCAGCGGTTCCAAAGATTACCCCCTACATACAAACTTACAAATTTTACCTCTTTATAATATTAGTATAGAAGTATGGATTCAGATTAAAGGCCTGTCTATTCCTGGCGCATGGCACACTCAATACTGTTCTTAACCGTCCAGTAAAACACGAAGCCATAACAACAATAAAAAGCTTCGGCCATCAGAATACAAACAACACGCATCATCTAAGATGGCGACTAATACCGCTCTGGTTATGTTATATCCTTTTTGTCCTTAAATCCTTCGTATAAATCCGCAGTTTGGTGTAATCTCATTTCTCGGTCACACTAAGGGGTAGTTCCACACACGAGTGAACATGGCAATACATTCACCTTATCTTGTTTTGTTAACATTTTACTCTGACGATTGTATTTTTTTTTTTTTTTGAGATGTGTCACCTTGTGGTAAGCAATCGGCGTCGCTCATTACCCGCAACACCAAAGGAGTAGGTATAAGTGGGTTGTTTGGGAATTAAGGATTTCCGGACTGAAGATGGGAGGAGAGATCGGAAAAGGAATGGCCTTCTGGTAACCTTACTTACTTGAAATGAATGAACCACAGCGCAGCTTTGAAGGTTGTTAGAAGTTGATAGATAGGAGATTTGGGGATCCAAGATTGGGAGGAAGGATTGGGCATCCAGAAAACTCATTCACACGGCGAAACACAATGTAGGTGTTGTTGGTATTCTGCGAGGCCACTCAAATCGAATTTGTGCCGAGACGTGAATCTTGAAATTCTCGTATGAAAATTAAACAACTCTGTCAAAATTTGAAAAATAAAAAACCTTTAACATTTGCCTATAAAAACGTAATTAAATAATAATAAAAAATATATACTTTAATTTTTCTAATCTAGATTTATTGGTTTATCAACAAGCGCGTTTGCATTATACTCGCATCAACCAGCTCGCATTTTTAAGCCGGCTGATTGGCAGAACCAAAGTCGCATGGCTCCAATTCTACTTGTCTTCATCAAAATTCCCAAAGTTAAGTTAATAAATGAAATGTAGAACTGTTGTTTTATAATAAAATATACAGGGTGTCCCACCTACGCCGTGACCTTTAAATATTGTGTAGGTGACTGTATTTTCGTTTAGGATTAGGAAAACGATCTCAATATCTGAAGGACCGTACTCACTTTGGTAATTATATAAGAAACATGTATTAACATAATATTAAGTACAATTCTTGTACCTTTAAAAATGAATACAGTTTCGCTATGACGTGAATGAAGTTTGAAAAGTTAAGCTTAGCTGTCTGAGTTTTGTTCACAGGATAGGTCATTTTTTAGTCCTTAGAATCCTCATTATCACAAATCTCTGGTATTCGACATTAAATTTTAATTTATTGTTTAAAAACAAATGCTAAAAGAACGAACCATCAACCTAAATTGAAATGTATTTATGTCTTCTACTTTATTTAGAATATGAATCACAATAAAGTAACTCGTCATATGCAAAAAAATGGCGCCCACTTTAATAAGGTTGGATTAATTGTTATTCCAAATATAAACCGACCAATTGTTGACAACAAAACGAAATTCTTGAAAGCAATTACATTCATGCCGACAAAATGGCGGTGAAAAGTTTTTACTAGCAAAATACCGCTAAAAGCAATTCTTTACACGGCCACATGCAAAGCAAGACAGCATCACATAATTTAAGTAACTCTTGACAACAACAGGAGGGAATAACCAACTAGAGGAACGTTTGCGGAGTCCCCCACAAACACTGGAGCCATGCCAAATATATCAGGCATATGTAGTATACAAATTTATTGATATATAGCGCAGTCGTATTTGTTTTGAATGTGTGCCACCTCAAATCTATTCGCTTTTTATTTACTCTCCAAACGTGCGACTTCGAATGCCCTAATACTATGATTCCGTCCGCCCGCAGTTACGTTTACGCTCACTGAATAAACAAAGCCTTTGTTAATTAAATAAGAAAAACAATCAATTCGGAATTAACTTGATACTTTGATACCATTACTTACTGACCAAATTACAATCAAAAGGAATCGAAGACGGCTTGACACTAAGTTCTTGAAATTTGGAATCAAACTCCTTTGACCTAACCCGACCCCCGCGCCAGGCCTGGCGTCTTGCCAACATCTGATAATAACAGACCATGCCAAGATAAAAACCACTATTCAAAAGACAGTTTTGTCAACTTTGAAGCAATTTGCTTAAACTACGAAAACGTTACAATACAATGCTTAAAGACAATCGGTAGTCAATAAAGCTTTCAATTGCACTTCTGGTTAGTCACGGCTGAAATAATATCGAACATTCAATTTTCATTTCTTGATTGTTGAGAGAACAGAGGCATAAATGACACTCGTTGGAAACCATGAAATATAGCGGGTTTTAACACGGCGGCGTGCAGGTGGGGCAGGAGTAGGCGAGCAGGTGGCAGGTGGGGGGTGGCTGGCGCCCCATCCCCGGTGCCCGCCAGCCACGCACTGCGCAGGCGTACACTACGACGGCGTGTTTTCCTCGTGACCATGCACAACTCGGCTACAACTCAACTCTCAGTCGACACTACTTTGTAACGGTGAACTTCTTTCATAACTATAGCCCGCAACTGCTACTACACGAACGTAAATTAGGACTCTGAACGCAGCCCAGCCATTAGCCATTACGTTCCCATGGCGACCAGACTAGCAAATAATTTTTAAAACATTATACGGTACGATCCATAACGATGTTACCGACTTTAATGGAAATGGCAGATTCATGACTAATATTTGGATCGATTTAATATACTAAGTACACTTTTATCATAGCTTTGAATCAGTTTGCAGTATACAAACAGAATTTATTCAACCTGAGTGGAAATGTGCATGCAAAGTGGGTATTACTTGTAAAGCGCTCAATATGAGTACTGCGCTACGAGAACTACACAATGAATAGGGCTGTATGAGCACTGAAACTTTAATAACTTGTACGAGGTGTTACAACCACGTCGTAATGGCAACCTTGATCTGTGGCCATCAGTAATTCATAGTCTGTAGTGACAGCTCACTAAAAACTTCATATGAAAACTAACATTTTTGACACCACCATTCACTGTTCCGCTACCAACTTTAAATTGATATGCAAAATGGAAATGTCGCTTTTTCTATTAAAAAACAGTTTCGTGTTTTTGTGCTAGCAAAATACGTGTCAGCAGAGCTTAAAACTGGATTTGTGTGTAGGGATTAAATATTGTAATTTGTGTTTTAATTGAAATGCGATAACACAGATTGTCTCCGGGCGAAAATGGTGAAATTGTTCATCAAATACCTACATACTTATGTACCAGATGTAAACAAGTTATTCATTTGTTAATAATAATAAATGATAAATATATTGTACGTTACTTGAATGCGTCCATATTCCATACCAGTAACAGCTAGACGTAGATTGAGTTAAAGCTTCAATACAAAATCGAGACAATACTTAAGCCAATTGAGAGTACGATACTGACCGGCCAATTGACAAATACCAGTGACCAGTTTTAGATAGTTGAAATAGCACGAATCT